AGGGAGGGTTTTTTTTAACATTTTATTTATTTATTTGACAGACAGAGATCACAAGTAGGCAGAGAGGCAGGCAGAGAGAGAGAGGAGGAAGCAGGCTCCCTGCTGAGCAGAGAGCCCAATGCAGGACTTGATCCCAGAACCCTGGAATCATAACCTGAGCTAGAGGCAGAGGCTTAACCCACTGAGCCACCCAGGTACCCCAAAGAGGTAGTGAGTTAATTCTGAACTTCATGAACCACTTATGAACCACTAGAGATTCAAAAAGGAAGGAAGGAAGGAAGGAAAGAAGAGAGAAAACAAAACAAGCAACAACAAAGTAACCAACCCTGACCAGTAAGTAGGGATATATTATGACTATGGTTCTTGTGGTTCCTTTCCAATAAAAACATAATAAAATCATGTTTTGTGAGTGTATTTTACATCTGTATGTATTCATACAGATATATATTTCTTCCTATCTACATTCATGAGCATGGATTTGGCAAAAATTTCAAATTGGATCTTCTTAACATTAAAACAAAAATAAGAAGGTGAACAGGCAACTCACCAAATGGGAGAAAACATTTGCAAATCATATATTTGTTAAGACATTTGTATCCAAATTATATAACAAAATCTTAGAACTCAATAACAAAAACTGGCAAAGAAACTTGAATAGACATTTCTCTAAGAACCATATATGAATGACCAATAAACACATAAAAAGATGCTCCAAACCATTAATCATCAGGGTAATGCAAGGCAAAACCACAATGGTATACCACTTCACACAAACCACAATGACTAGAATGGAAAAGTGAGATCATAACCAGTGCTGGAGAAGACAGAGAGGCATTGGGCCCCTCAGTTGCTGCTGACAGGGCTAAAAGATAGTGCAGCCATTTTGAAAAAGTTTCTCAAATGATGAAATATATAGTTATCAAATGACTGAAAAAAAGTCATTCCTAGATATATACCAAAGATAAGTGAAAGAATTCCTCTATATAGAATTTTAATATGAATGTTCAGAGCACATTATTCCTAATAGATAAAAAGGTGGAAACAACTTAAATGTCCACCAGCTAACAAAAAGATAAACAAAATGTAGTCTAGCCATACAATGGAATAAGGTTAGGTTGTAAGAAGGAATAAAGTACTGATACATGCTATAGCACAGATAACCTTGGAAATATTATGCTAAAGGAAAGAAGTAGTCACAAAAGGCTACATATTATATTATTCTATTTCTCTGAAATCCCACAATATGGGACTCTATGTAGAGACAAAGTAGATTTGTGGTTGTTTAGAGCTGAGAAGTGAGGGTGTAGGGGAATAAAGGGGGTATAGGTAAAGGGTGAGGGTTCCCTCTGAGGTAATGGAAATACTAAAATTTGGGGTGCCTGGGTGGCTCAGTCAGTTGAGTGGCTAATTCCTGATTTCAGCTCAGGTCGTGATCTCAGGGTGGTGAGATCAAACACTGTTTTGGGCTCCTTGCTCTGCAGGAGTCTTCTTGAGAATTCTCCCTCTCCTTCTTCCTGTGCCCCTCCCCCTTCTAAAATGAATGAACAAATCTTAAAAAAATAAATTTATATTTAATTAAAACTTAAATTAAAAAATAAATTCCCATTTCTGTGAAATACTAAAACTCTCATATTTGTGAATGTATTAAAAGCCAATGAATTCTGCATGAGTGAATTGCATGCTATATAAATTATATCTCAATGCAGTTGTTTAAAAAAAAAAAAAAAAGGTTACTTGATAAGTACAAGTAAACGATACAACCAAAGAAATGGAATCTGTGATCCAAATTTGTCCCCAAGGTGCTGAGTATAAGGAAGTGGTCAGCTCTACCAGCATGAGATAAATGTAAAGATCACCAAGCTCAGAAAAGAAAAGAACTACAATATTTGTAGTAGCACTTTAGGAAAAAAAATGAATAAAAGGAAATGGAGAATAATGAAACCAGATTTCTGTGAGGGAAAGAGAATAAGATAAACTGTGTGTGCTTGTGTGTGTGTATATATATTTTTTTTTTCAGTGTTTTCAATAAGAATTCAGGATGGTTTAGAGCTTCAAGCTATCTGAATGTATAATTAAATTAAAGGTAAATATAAAACAATTAAGTTGCTGAAAATTTAAAAAAAAAAATGAGCATTTCTAAAAAATACCTGGTCAGTGTTCTCAAAGTGTCAAGGTCATGGAAAACAAGATGGATGGATAAACTCTCATAGATTAGAACAGACTGAAAAGGATTAGTTCCTGAAAAAGAAAAGGAACAACTGGTAACATTTAAACAGAGAATGGGATTTGTTTCACAACATTAAACTGAAGTTAATTTCATAGTTTTGAGAAACTTACCATAGCGACTTAACTTAATAACATTAAGGGAAGATAAGGGAACTACTGAGCGCAGAGTTTCTCAATTCCGGCAGGGCCGACATCTGTGGCCAGATCATTCTCTGCTGCGGGGCCCGTCTTGTGCACCGTAGAATGTTGAGCAACATCCCTGGCCTTTACCCCTTATCCCCAACCTACTTTCTCTAATGTCCCTGGGACAGAGGTTGGAAAGCCGCAAAGCTGCCTCTAATTGGGAACCACTGATTTACCTTAATTATTAATGTCAACTAACCAAAATAAACCTGTTAGTTCTTTGTGTGTGAGAAGGAGAAGCAGCAGACATATTCAATGTCTATGCAAATAACTTTTGACTAATCAACAAACACGTTGATTTACTGGTGAAGATGCATTTAGAAGTGAGAGACTGTGGTTTTTGGAAGAGTGTTTCACCACAAACCAAAATGACACCCATTGGATTACGCTGCAGATAGGATGTGGAAACTCTGTCAATACTGGGGATTGAAATACATTTTAAGAAATCTATATTCAATTGCATTAATGGTCCATTCTGATGGTAATGATATCATTGTCTTAAGAGGCTTCTTAGCTATAAAAGTCATTGTTATCATTATCAAGAAATGTCTTATAAAAAAAAAAGAAATGTCTTATTAAGAAGAAAATTATAGCATAGGAAGTTCTTGTTTTCAAAATCATATTCTGTGGGATCATTCATAAATTAGGAATGTGGAAGAAATGAAAACGAATTAGTGAGTAGGAAGTATCACGGATCTCACCCTCCAGTATCCCTTGGCTGATGGCACACCTACCTTACCAACAAATGACTTCTTTCCAAACTGCTGAAGCCTTATAAAGCTTTCAGTAGGCTCCTTTTAATGTCTTCAACCTTCACTTGTTTGCTTCTCAGATCCAGAATGCACCTGTTGCTTGCTCTTGAATTTGGTACTTACTTTGCCAGACTCTACTTCTCTCTACCTTTACTGGCTAACTCAGAAGGCACTTTGTGCAAGTGCTTTTGAGGAAAACATTCTGGAGAACAGTTTGCTTTACATCACCTTCAACAGATCTCCAAACTCCATCATTATATATATATGTAATAGTTTTCAAGCCCTGTTTTTATAGTCAGATGCTTTTTTAACTGTTAGTTGGAAATGTGAGCCACTACTGTATAAACATGGATTACCAGTAAAAATGGAAGAAAAAGAGAAACTGCATTAACGTTTGAAAGACTAAAATCTATATACGAATGTATGAAACTTAAATTATAGGACAGTCTTCTTAAAACCAACGTTGTCGGGACTAAAACATAAATCATGGTCTACTGTCACCATTTCCTTAAGAGGCACTTGCAGAAAGTAACATTAACAACTATTCTAGAAGAATAAAACATGCATCACATTTACGGAAACAAAATCTAGTTATTTATTTTCCCTTAAAAGAGCATTCAAGTGAATTATGTTTAGTTTTTACGATAATGAAAGGGAATGGCCGTCTGTCAATACGCAATCTGTAATTTTTATGAACTGCAAAAAATATTATACCTTCTCCCTCTAGAGTCAAGTACCAAAATAGAGACAACTGCTGGTGGAGATGTAGACTTGTATAGACACTGTGGAAAAGAGTTTGGAAATTTCTCAAAAAGTTAAACAGTGAAGGAGTGCCTGGGTGAGTAGGTTCAGCCTGGGGCTCTTGATTTTGGCTGAGGTCATGCTTTCAGGGTCATGAGATTGAACCCTAAGTAGGGCGTCCTGCTCAGCATGGAGTCCGCTCGAGGAGTCTCTCTCCCTCTCCTACTGCCCCTCCCCCTGCTAGTATGTGCTCTCTCGGTCAAACAAATGAATCTTAAAAAAAAAAAAAAAAAAATTAACAGTTAAGGTATGTCCTAGCAATTCTACCCTGGCTATACACCCAAGAGAAATGAAAATATTTGTGCACACAAACTTTCATACATGAATGTTCACGACAATATTATTCATAATATCAGAATCGTGGAAACAACCCAAATGCCCATTAACCGGCAAAGGATAAACAACATGTGATCTATCCGTGCAATGCACTATTTGCTGGATCATAAAAAGAGTGAAAAACTGCTACTTGCTACTGCATAATAGACTTGGAAAACAGTATGTGAAGCAAAAGAAGCCAGTGACAAAGGACTACATATTACATAATCCCGTTTATACCAAAGCCTACCATAGGGAAATCTATAACTGGAGAGAAAATGAGTTAGTGGTGGCTTAAGGCTGGGGTAAGGGCAGGTGGATGGGACGGTGATATTCATAGCATCCAGGCTTTCTGTTTGAAGTACGATATTCTCAAGTTGACTATGGTAATGGATGCACGAATCCGTGAATGTGCTGAAAGTCACAGAACTGTACTCTTTGGGCGAACTCTATGGTATGTAAACGATGTTGTGATAAAGATGCTGGGGGTTGGGGAGTGCAGATGCTGAGCTCCTAAGCCTCTCTCTGCAGCCAAACTTTTGATCTCAGCAGCGGGAAGAACAGGGGTTGGAGGCTGTGGCCTCCAGATAACCATGCACACGCGGGCTGCAGCTGCGCCTGCATTCATCCCCCGCATCCACTCTGCCAACCTTCTCCTGCTTCACGCGCCCACAGGATGTGGAGGGTTCCGGCGCCCAGGCCCGCGCGCGCTTTCCGTGCACACAGATGCCAACGGTCATCCGAGCCCTGGGCGCTTCGGCTGCAGCTGCCTCTGGCGACATTGGGAACTTCTGGAAGTCGAATCCCCACTAGAAGGCCCCCTCCCTGACGCCCGCTCCCATGGGCAGCTACCTGAGCACACCCAAGCCCGCGACACAACCCCTCACTCAAGGGCGTCCGAACCCGTGGTCCAGGCCTTCCCAGGCGGAGGACTGTGGGCCCCGCATCCGCTTCAGACCCCTCCCACGGATGCCGCCCAACTGGGACCCCTCCCAGCCGCAGAGGGTGGTCACTGAGGCATGGAGGCGCTTTCCTGCCAGGCCGCCCCCTGAGACAGTCCTGGGGCCAGATCTCTCCAGCGCCTGGGAGAGTTACATGAAGCGGTGCCTTTGGAATGCCCGTCACCCCAGACGGATCTGGAGTCCTGTGACGGTCAGGATCGCGCCCCCTGAACACAGAGGGAGCCCCTGGGTGTCCCGGGCACAGGCTCCCAGTGCCTGCCCTGCAGGGCATCCACCCGCAGAGGAGCGCCCAGACCCCTGTGCCAAGGAGACCGTGCTGAGGGCTCTCAGCCAGTGCCAGAAGGGGAACAGGAAGTTTGATGGGCCCCTCTGGTTTGAGATCCCAGAGAGCAGGAGCAGGAGGCGGAAGCCGGAGCCCAGGCCATCTGCCTTCAAGCCCCTGATCAGAAATGGTGTGGTCCCTTCCTTCGTGCCAAGACCAGGGCCTCTGAGCAGAAGCCTTCACTCCTGGAGCGATAACGTCTGCAGGGAAGTTGCTGACCTCCAGCCTGATGGCCAGCCTTCACTGTCTGCTGCCCACCCCACTGCAGGGGCGGTGTCTGCCCAGGGCCCAGATCCTCAGCTGCAGAGCTGGGAGAAGATGCAACGCTCCTGGGGCCTCCCACCCTCCTCCAGTGCATAAGAACAGCACCAGGAGGGTCTCTTCCCTGCCCCCGATCCCCCCAGGATGCTCAGCCTGCTGGCCCCTTTGACTCCTAAGAGTCAGGGCCCTGCTACCTGCCTGCTGAAACTTAAACCTCTATATTCTATATTCTCATTTTGCTGACCCCATACTCTACCCCTCCGGGGGACCCTGTCCTAGTACTACTGTAGTGCCCTGACCTGCCGGTCCTTACTCTGGAGACCCCACACTGAAGATTGTTGATGTTAAACCCCTTGCCTCCCCCTGCCTGCCTACACCTTTCTGCCTTTTCCCTTCCTTTCCTGGAAGGTGTTCTTCTTCCCCCACCTTCCCTATTTGCCCAGTTTGTATAAAGATTTAATCTTATTAAAAATAACATTAATATTTTAAAAAGACCTCTTTTTATATAAAAATAAAAGGAAAATATGTTCTGGACTATCAAGAGCAGGGGCAAAGATCTGGCACTGGTAATAACGTTTATTTATTTGAAGTTCAGTAAAGCTAGAGGGTGGTGAGAGAGAATGTGAGGTTAGGGACACAGACAACAAAGAAGTAATACAAAGCATCAGGGGTCATGGAAGAGTTTTATTCTAAGAACCAGAGTGGTTTTTTTTTTAAGATTTTATTTATTTGACAGAGATTACAAGTAGGCAGAGAGGCAGGCAGAGAGAGAGAGAGGGGGAAGCGGGCTCCCCACTGAGCAGAGAGCCCAGTACGGGGCTCCATCCCAGGACCCTGAGACCATGACCTGAGCTGAAGGCAGAGGCTTAACCCACTGAGACACCCAGGAACCCCAGAAACACAGGTTTTAAGCAGAGGTGAGACTAATCAGGTTGATGTGTTTTAAACTGGTCGTTTTGGCCATTGTGTGGAGAGTGTATTATCCAAAGTCAACAACTGAAACAGAAACAAGAGGAGCCCAGTGCTGCGTTTCAAGCACCAGATGAGGGCGGACTGGTCTGAAAGAGAAACGATGCAGGCAGAAGGTGCACATGAATTTGAGGTGTGTCTTGAAGGTGGATATTTTGGGGTTTTCTAATGCAATGGATGTTAACATTAGGAAAGCAGAGGAATCCAAGAATCTTAGCTTAAGGTTCCAAAACTTGCATGATGACAGTGCCATTTATTGAGATGGAGAACATAATATGAGATGTCAAAGGTTCTAAGTCGGTCATGTTTCCTCAATGCATTCATTTGTTATCCCAGTGAAATTGTCACCTGTGTAGTTGGAAACCTGAGCCTGGCACTCAGTGCAGAGTTTGAAGTCAGAGAGAGATGTAGAAATCCTGAACACATATGCCCATTGATACCCATGGTGCGTGAAGCCAGGGGCTACATGAGTTCACCAAGCAGAAAACACAGATAGAGAAGGTGGCCAAGGATGAGCCCTATCATCCTCTGATGTTTAAAGGACAAAAGAAAGAAGAGAGGGAGAGAGAAGAAGCCTGAGAAAGCACAGCTGTGGAGGTGGGAGACAAGTCAGAAGCAGCCGGGACATTGAGGGGAGAGCTTTAGAAGGTGGATTTTATCAGCCACGTTGGTGGCCACTGAGAAGTTGAGATATTCCAACACTGACTTTGGAAAGAGGAATCCTTTTGGAGTGTTGGAGGTAAAGCCTGGATTAAAATGGAAGACATTAGGAGTGGATGTGGAGGCAGGGTCCGGAGAAACCATTTGGTAGATGTCCGTCTTGAAGTAGAGCAGGCAAGTGGGAAGGTGGGAGGCAGTTTTACTTTGTTCTGAAATTTTATTAAAAAAAAAAAAAAAAAAAGACAGGGGATATATTCAATAAAGGGATCTTTGGGAGGGTCGGGAGGGATGGACTGCTAAGTTCAGGTGGAGGGTGGAGTGGCTCTCAGACACTTGACCCTTGATGGCAGCAGGGGCTGGGGGCAGAGGCTGTGGTATGGAACGAGCCAGGGAGGGGGGCCTGGCACCTGAGTGGGAACGTTGGTTCTCTGTCTTCCAGTCTACCAGGGAAGTATAAAGCAAGTCTGTGTGAGATGGGGCAGGAGGGAAATATTCGAGATTTGACAAAACAGCTGAACATGAGAAACAGAATTCTCCAAGGGGGAAGTGGAAAAGACCTGGAGAATGTAGTAGAATTATGAGGAAAAATATCAAAGTGTTTGTTTCAGGGTTAAGTTCTTCAAATGAAACTGGAAATCAGGAAAAAATGATTCATTAATCTTCTTCAGATTTGTTTTTACCTGAATGGTTTTAACCACTACATTTTATCTAATATTTTATTAACTGAGTCCAAAAGAATTTAATAAAGAGGGAGGAAGTGAATGAGTTAAGGTGCGTATTAGACAGGGTTCTCTGAGAATCAGAACCAGTGTGAGAGTGTGTGTATATGTGTATGCGTGTGTATGCGTGTGTATGCTTGTGTGTGTGTGTGTGTGTGTGTGTGTGTGTGTGCATTTGCTCTCAGCCATGGAGATAGGGTCTGGGAGGACAAGGCAGGTTGATTAATTATATAGAGTTGGCTCAGGATGCCTGGGTGGCACAGGAGGTTAAGCATCTGACTCTTGGTTTCTGCTCAGGTCATGATCTCAGGGTCATGAGACTGGAGCCCCCCATAGGGCTTCACACTCAGCTCATGTGAAAAAAAATTGGCTCATGTGATTGTGGGGCCTGAGAAGTCCCAAGACCTGCAGTCGGGAAGCTGCAGACCCAGGAGAGCTAAGGGTTAAGCTCCAGTCCATGTCTGTAGTCAGAAGAAGATGAGTGTCTGGGGGGAGGTGGTGAGAGGGGAGAAAGAGAGAGAAATCTTTTCTACTCAGATTTTTTTGTCCTATCTGGGTGTTCTAAGGATTGGTGGGGGTTCCTGCATATTGGGGGTCTATCAGTTTTATGCGGTCTATCAATTCAAATGTTAAGTGCATCCAGAAACATCATAAACACACCCAGAAATAAAGTTTAACTCAATATCTGGGACCCTATCACCCAAGCAAGTTGGCACATAAAATTAGCCATGACGGTGTTTTTAAAGGTCTAATTTTAATTTGAATTATAGAATCAAACTGGTTAAGAGAGAATTTGATAGGAGAGGGACCTAGGTAAGGAGAACTACAGGGAAAACTATCAGAGTCTTAATGACAGGTGCCAAGGGTGTACAAATGAGGTGAGGGCAACAGAAATCCATCGGTGTCCTCGAGGAGGTCAAGAAACGTGATGGATAGAGGTTAAAGGCGCTGTGAGTAGTGACCAGAGCAGGGTTAACAGGGAAAGTCATGAGGAAGGAATTCAAATTTTCATGACAGCAAGGAAGGTAGTGCATGGTTTCTAACATTATGAGTTTCAAAGTAGCAGAGTTTTTTAAAAGAGCAAAGACAGATCATAGTGTGGGAGGAGCACACATGAGCAAGAGTATACCTGTTCTCCAGTGCACGCTGTGAGCGACTTGGAACATGGGAGGAAGAGCGGGTTTGCTTTCAGCTGAGGGACAGTGGGTGTGTGATCAGTGTGGGCGGGAAGCTGACGAGAATTGAGCTGTGTGGGGATTTTCTAACATCTCATCAGGACTTTCCAAGGGCTTGCAAGGCACACAGGATAGGAATGAGCTGAGACCTTGTGAGCCTGGGAAGAGATTCCTGATGGGTTTACTCACAACAGTGTCTCAGAGCAACATGGTCTGTCAGTCAAGTTATAGGACAGAATATTTATCTGGAATATATAAACAGAATTTACCAAGAGCACAGGGATTCTATTCCTGTGAACCAGCCTTGCGGGGGGATCTACAGGGACTGCATGGCCAACCCAACCAAAATGAGGCCTCTGCCCTCATGTCACGGAAGCCCAGCAGTGTGGGACATGAGGAGACAAATGAGTCTCTGGGGTAGAGCAGAGTTTGCTAAAGCAGATGTGTAAACATTTAATATATGATAATGCTAACATTTAAAATCTGTGTGAAAATAATGAACTAGTAGAAACAGTGAATTGCAATTATCAGCTTTCCAATTGGGAAATAGAGCACAGCTCTCTCTCTCTCTCTCTCTCTCTCTCTCATGCAAAACACAAATGTAAAACTCAAAACTGCAAAAAAGTTGAAAATTTGAAGGAATTATTTTTTTCTCAAGCGTCAATGAAGTTTAATTACACCCATAATAAATTTTAAAAATTTAAGCTTTATACATAATGTTCAAATCCCTCCACCAATCTCCTCCTTTGACATTCTTCAGGAGGCTAAAAACCCATAAAAGAAAAGTTTTTAATAGCTAATATTTTAAAAACCTAAACTGTAATTGAAAAATATTTCAAACGCAAATGACGGGACTGGAGGCTACATTAGTAATCCACATAGCAGATCATAAATTACTATTCCACAAATACAAGGAACCACTTAATATCAATGGAAAGACAGAAGAAAGAAAGAGAGAGAGAGAAAGAAAGAAAGGAGAGAGGAAGAGAGAGAGGAAGGAAAAGAAACAAGGGAAGGAAGGAAGAAAGAAAAGAAAGAAAGAGGAATTAATAAAAATATAACTAGACAGCTAATGTAAGAAAGAAATCAAATTGTTAACAAATATATATACATATATATATAATATTCAGTGTGTCCTAATTATTCAGAGAGATTTATATATCTATATCTATATCTATACCTACCCATGACTAGTATTTATATCCATCATTGGGAAAAAAAAGAAAAAAGAAAAAAGGGTATCCATCTGTGGCAAGATTGTAGGAGAAATAATCTCATGTTAATTTAGTAAATTAATGAGAATGATAGTCTATAAATTCTCATTGTGTGTAACCTGGTAATTATTCTTTTATTTTGGCATTCCATTTAATTTTAATAAATGATGAAATATGCTATAAAGATATGAGCCATGAAATAGGTACTAGCACAGCTTTGAGATCTAGTCACAAACACAAATAAGTAAACAAGAAAAGGGCCACATGGGTGGCGCAGTCAGTTAAGCATCTGCCTTCCGTTCAGGTCATGATCCCGAGGTCTTGGGATAGAGCCCCACATCAGGCTCCCTGCTAAGCTTCTCCCTCTCCCTCTGTAGCTCCCCCTACTCCTGCTTGCTCTCTGTGGAATGAATAAATAAAATCTGAAAAAAAAAAAAAAAGTAAACAAAGGAGAGAAAAAGAAGAAAAACA